TTACATGAAAATTTATTCTGCATTTACTATGTGGTACTCCTTATTCTGTGTATGCGGGTAGAGTAGAGAACAGATTAGGCCAAGTTCTTGTCCCGCTGAAACTTATGTTCCACTGTATGTCTTCCCAAACAGTTTTAGAAATAATGTTATAGAAAATTTCTTCTTTCACTCAGTTTCTCAATATCAGGCTTTACACAGTTCACCTTTTCCTATTTCAAATGAAAATAAAAGCTGGGGAGGTTGGTTCATATTAACCATGGGTGATTTAAATGAAAAATCATCAGAGCCCAGAAGAAAACATGAATTTAGATCAGCCAAATCTTGGCAGTTATTACAGATATGCGATGGGCATATCTGGCAGTTATCTGGCAGTTATCTGAAAAATCATCAGAGCCCAGAAGAAAACATGAATTTAGATCAGCCAAATCTTCACTCTGGCAGTTATTACAGATATGCAATGGGCGATGGGCAAAGGAATTAACCAGTGTTCCTCATTTTCCCTTATAAAAATTGCTACCTTCAAAGATATATAGGACTCTATAATTTAATATATGTAGGACACCTACAGCGATGCATAAGAGCAGAAACAAAATAATGATAATATAGATTCCATTTTATTATTATTTTCTTTTCCATTAATCAGAAGAAAATGAGCTATCTTAAGGCTAAAGACCAATAAAGGAAAAACTTTAGATCAGGGGTTCTTAACCTCTGGGTCATGACACACAGGAACTGTATTAAAGAGCCATGGCATTAGGAAGGTTTAGAACCACTACCTTAGATCCATTCAGCAATATTTCAAAAAAATAAAACAGAAATATATACAACGCACATATGCTACTTGTTACGTTTTACTTAAATCATGAAACATGTGTCACAGAACATGTGTCTGTCCCATTAAGAAAATCCTCAGCCTGACACGTCCCCCTGGCTTGACTCCTGTGGTAAGATCATCCTTTGGACAGAATGTCTGCTGTCAAAGCGTCATTTATAAAACCATCCACTGTCGAGAGGGAAAAGATTGGTTAGTTTTAACAAAAATATGATATGCATAAAGAGAAGGCTTCATTTTAATGACCTAAAAATTGCATAACAGAGAGTTTAAAACTCATAGAATAGGCCTCACACAGAGTAATCCCATTTTCAGTTAATTATAGACTTTAATTTATCTAGACGTATGAAAATTAAGATCTGTCTACCCACTCGAGATGTTTTTATTGCCAATTTTAAAGCTGAAACCCTGAAACAAACTTTTACCCTTCATTAGATACTATTAGCTGGGAAAATGTAAAAAGGTGAAATATTCACCAGTTCAATTCAAAGAACGACTTCACACTCAATGTATTTACCGGATATCTTCAGGGACCTCTCTTAATTCAAAACTCTTGGTTTGTCCTATTTATTTTAAACTTTTCAACATTTTCTTTTTTAAAAATTATGTCAGATTAGTATGAGGGGACACGTGATTAGCTTACAATGCTTGCATTTGTTAGGTGAGGTCCCTATGGTACTTGTGTCCCCTGCACCCAGGAGTGTGCCATAAACTCTTACACTGTGCCAGTTAGGTGGGAGCCCACCACTCTCCCTCCCTCCAGCTGTCTCTCTCCCTCTCCTTACGCCTCCCCCCAACTTGAATTAAATTGATTTTTTCTCCTATGTGGGTGTGTATTAATTGTCTACTGGCTTCATATTAGTACTGAGTACATTGGATACTTACTTTTCCATTCTTGTAAAGAAAATGTTTTCCAACTCTATCCAGGTTAATACAAAAGATTTAAAGTCTCCATCATTTTTATTATGAATAGTATTCCATGGTATACATATACCTCAATTCATTAGTATATTCATGGGTTGATGGGCAATTTGTTATTTCCACATCTTGGTGATTATAAATTCAGCTGCAACAAACAATCTAGTGCAAATGTCCTTATGATAAAATGATTTTTTTTTCTTCTGGGTAGATGCGTAGTAATGGGACTATGGGATCAAATAGAAGGTCTAGTTTGAGTTCTTTAAGAATACTTCTCAACATTTTCCATATCCACCCAGTTCCACCCTTCCCCTCCTAATCACCATCCCATTTCATTATCTCCATTCTTTAAGCTACTGCTTCTTTCTTCCACAGATAAGAACAAGGATGTGTGTGTGTGTGTGCACATACATGGGGGTGTGTGCATGCATGTTCACAGGTGTGTGTGTCTACATAAATGGGAGTGTGTGCATGCATGTACACAGGTGTGTGTGTGCACATACATGGGGGGTGTGCATGTACACAGGTGTCTGTGCACATACGTGGGTGTATGTGTGTATGTTCACAGGTGTGTGTGTGCACATACATGGGGGTGTATGTGCATGTACACAGGTGTGTGTGTGTATACATACATGGGGGGGTGTGTGCATGTACACAGGTGTGTGCGTGCATGTACATGGGGGTGTATGTGCATGTTCACAGGTGTGTGTGTGCACGTACATGGGGGTGTATGTGCATATTTACAGGTGTGTGTGTGCACATACATGGGTGTATGTGCATGATCACAGGTGTATGTGTATACATACATGGGGGTGTGTGTGCATGTACACAGGTGTGTGTGTGCACATACATGGGTGTATGTGTGCATGTTCACAGGTGTGTGTGTGTGCACGTACATGGGGGTGTATGTGCATGTTCACAATGTGTGTGTGCGCATACATGGGTGTATGTGTGCATGTTCACAGGTGTGTGCGTGCACATACATGGGGGTGTGTGTGTGCATGTACACAGGTGTGTGTGTGCACGTACATGGGTGTATGTGTGCATGTTCACAGGTGTGTGCATGCACATACATGGGTGTGTGTGCGTGCATGTACACAGGTGTGTGCGTGCACGTACATGGGTGTGTGTGCACGTACATGGTGGGTGTGCATGTACACAGGTGTGTGTGCACATATGTGGGTGTATGTGTGCATGTTCACAGGTGTATTTGTGCACATACATGGGGGTGTGTGCATGCATGTACACAGGTGTGCATGTTCACAGGTGTGTGTGTACATACATGGTGGTGTGTGCGTGCATGTTCACAGGTGTGTGTGTGCACGTACATGGGGGTGTGTGTGCATGTTCACAGGTGTGTCATGGTGCCTGTGAGCATTGTCACTTGTTAATGAATTTCTCACTAGAGCAGAAGTTCTCAATTTTGACTACATCTTGAAATCCTCTACGGAGCATTTAAAATTTTAAAACTACTGATGCTGATTTCATTGGTTTGAGTTAGGCCTGAGCAGTGGGATTTTTTTTTTTTTTAGTTCCCACAGAATATTCTAATGTGAAGCTCAACTTGAGCACTACTGTGCTAGAACGTGGAAACTTCCTTAATTTCTTTTCTTTTCCATTCTATATTTATACCAAATATTTTGGTTCTACAGTTGAGTTAAAAATAAATTATTCCGAAGACCATTTCTCTGAGTTCTTCCATTTTTGGAAATGTTTCACTTAGCAGATATGGCTACTGATCTTGACTAGATCCATGTAGCTATCCTGGGACAAGCGACATTTCTAAAGTTGGCACAAGTACTCACTGCAAGCCTGCTCATGCCTTCCAGAAACACACTACAAGAGGCAGAGATTTTCATGATCTGGGAAGGGCAGTCTGAACCCTTCACCATCTACAGGCCTAGCCTATGCCCAGCCATCTGAAGTTGTACATAACCATTTCCATAGTCAAATCTATTAGAACCCCAAAAGCCAGGCCTGTGAACAGAGTTCTTTCTGACCATCAGCAGAAAACTGGCCAATCCTCAGCTTCTGGTTTTTTTTTTTTTCTTTATTCTCAATTATCATGAGAAGCCACTATATGATCATTTTTTAGAGTTTCTCCTTATAATCACCCTGGCAATATTAATTTTCAAGTCCATATTAGTTTAGAGTTCACTGAGGTCCACCACAATATAGTTGGCTATGGACCCCATAATATAGTTGGCTATGGATGCCATAACAAAACCCAAGAGTTGGTGTTTTAACCAAGAGAATTGATTTTTTCACCATTCTGTAAGCCAGAGCCTGAGACCAAGGTATCAACAGGGTCGATTTCTTCTGAGGCCTCTTTTTGGCTTGTTCTTGGTCATCTTCTCATGTCTTTCCAACCTCTTCCCTACAGGTGTGCCTGTGTCCCCATCTCTTCTGATAAGTGTACTAGCCATGTTGGATTAGGACCCCTTGTATGATTGCATTTTACCTTAACTACCTCTTTAAGATTCTGTCTCTAAATATGGTCACATTCTGAGGTACTAGTAAATAGGACTTCAACATATGAGTGGAGGGAATAACAATTCAGCCCATAACACACAGGGAATAAAATAATTTAATTCCTCTTTGACTTCCCTCTCCTTGGATTGTATTTGTATGAAATCATGACCTTGATAAATGGTTATTTTGGTTTTAGTTTACCTTCTACAATATGACCTAACCTTCTGAGAAAGACAGATCTCCATCATTTTAGAATTACATGATGAATCTTGTCAGTGAACTAATCCAGCTCAAAAATATAAAGACTTTGAAAGAAGTATAAAAAGTGCAGAACCCATCGAGTTATACAGTAGAAAAAGGGGAATAGAAAAAAATTTCCTGATTTTACGAACACTGTATTTCATATAATTTGGGAAAGGCTTGACTTAAAAATTTTCTGCTTTGCATATACATCATAAGTTTGTTCATTGTCATGTTGTAGCTCAAAATTAGAGTTTGGGATGTATGGTTGCCATACATTGATGGTCTTAGTTGGCATATTTTGCTAAATTATTTGCTTTAAGAGACTGCACCAACTCTCCCCTCTATGCAGAAGATTTCAATTTGAATTCGTAGCCTTCCTGCTTAAAAGTACTTTTATGATGCTTATATATGGAACTTTTCCTTTGCTTGTTTAAAGTATGTAAATGAAGATTTCTTTCTAGAAAACGTGGGTTTCCACATGTCAAAATCTTGCCTGATTCAATCAATCTATTAAAATATAACAGCAGGTACCTACCTTGAGGTTTGGGCTTGGTCAGTTTGCCACAGGGCTTGGAAATGGTGACAGTCTTCTGGCAGTCAGCGTTGTGGAGGGCTCGCTTCAGACTTCCGGTTCTGGTCTTCAAGGCCGTGTTCAGGTCACATTCTCCCCACGCCTGGAACTGGTATTTGCACTCCGCTAAAGGTTAAGTAGGACCAAAAAGATTTTTTTTTAATCCCACTGCCATGATAATAAAGGCATACTTTTGTTTTTAATATTTTGTGTTGACATAATTGTCGATTCATGTGTAATTTTAAGAAATAATGCACAGAGTGTATATGTGTGTGCAGTGTTAGCACATTGCAGATGCATATGACCACCTCACTATCAATACACAGAATGGTTCTAACACACGGTCACTTGCATCATCTTCCATAGCCGTGGACTAGCCACCTTCCTCCTTTCCCATCTCCTTAATCCCTGTCACCTCTTAATCTGTTCTGTTGCCATTTGAAGAATGTTACATAAATGGCATTATTCAGTATGTAAACTTCTGAGATGGGTTCTTTTTACTTAACATATTGTCCCAGAGATCCAGCTGAGTTGAAGGTATCAATGGCCCTTTTCTTTTTATTGCTGAGTAGAATTTCATGATATGGATATAATACATACCCAGCACAGTTGGTTTAATCATTCATCAGTTAAAGGAAATCTGGGTTATTTCCAGTTTGGGGCTATTAAAAATAAAACTGCTATGTATATTCCTATACAGATTTTTGTGGAAACATAAGTTTTTATTTCTCTGGGAGAAATGCCCAAGAAACTGCTGAGTTCCATGGTAAACACATGTTTAATTTAGTTAAAAAAAAAAAAAAAACACACTGTCATACTTTCTTCCAGGGAGGTTGAACAATTTGACACTTCCACTGGCAATATATGATTAATCTAGTTTCACGGTATCCTCACCATTGCTTGGTATTATCATTATATCTTTTAAGCTAGCCCCTTTGATATGTATATAGTGACAGCTAATCATGATTTTAATATCCAGTTCCTGAAAAACTTTTCCAATGCTTATTTGACACCCATATATGCTCTTTGTAAAATGTCCAGTAATGTCTTTTCCCACTTTTATATTGAATTATCAGGGTTTTTTATTTTAGAGTTTTGAGAGTTCCTTAATATGTTGGATATGAATCCTTCAAGATAGGCCTTTTAAACTTTTTATAAATGTATCTTTAAGGTGCCCATATATAATTTAAAATAAAACGAATGTGGCTTATCATGCCTTCATAGAACTTATCTCCATTACAAAACGCCCTAAAGATTACAGAGGGAGAAAAAGATCAGTGTGTTTATATTACTACTTCTCATTTGCTTATAGGTCATAGTGATTTCTGTAGAACACTGGTAAAACATCACGTCTAGCTGTGGCAAAGAAAGACAAAAGATCTGGCACGTGGACGAAAGAAGTTATTTGGGATTTTAATAGTGGGTTTAAAGTTAAAAGTGTTAAGGAAGCCTGTCTCAAATAGCTCAGTCATGCTACTGTGAGGCTAACAGTGGTAACTGAGAAAAAAAGTGATGAAAAGTGGCTTTGAGCAGGATTGCGGAGTTGATAAGTAAATCTATGAACCTAGACAGAAGGTGGAAGGGATCAAAGGGAGAGAGGACCTGAAAGTGACAGACAGGGATGGGGAGAAGGAGGAGAATGAACAAGAAAAGAGGAGACAAAAACAGAAGGAACTTAGAAGTAGAAGAAGGAAAGAAAGGAGAGAGAAGATGGATCAATGAACCAAAGGCGTATTTTCCGTCCCAACTAGTAAGGCAATGGTTCTCAATCAGGGATGATTTTGGCTGTCAGGGGACACTTGACCACACAGACTTGGACACATTTTTAGCTTACACAACTGGTGGGGGTGAGGAGTGCTGCTCAAAACCAGTGAGTAGAAGCCGGGGATGCTGTTAAACATCCCACAGTGCACAAGGACAACGTGTGCAAGAATTTCTGGGCCTGAATATCACTAGCACCAAGGTGGAGAAACCTGGTTTATGCAGGATGTCTTTGCACTTTGTGATCAAGTACATGTATTTAAAATAAAATGTACTCAGCCTCAACAAGACATGTGGTGGGAAATTAAGGAATTATTTTAGAGTAGATTAAATCAGTAGACTGATAGAGCGAGACTTACCTCCAAATTGTTTTTTCCAGTTGCAGGGGATCTTACATCTCTGGGTCTTCATGGTCTGTTTGCACTCAGCTCCAGTGCGGGTGCCCTCCCGTGTGCCCAGCCCACAGTCCCCGCTGGTGGGCACACACACACTCCACTGCCATTCTCCACAGTCAGACTTCTTCACTTTTTTTTCTGGAAGGAAGGAAAGAAAAATAATCAGCATTCAGAAAACTCTATAACTCCTAGATGTAGCTACGGGATCTGTGCTCTCCACCTCAATCCTTATTGCCCAGTAAATAGTAGGAACATGACCAATGTTAGCTAAATGATTGAGTCAATAAATAACGAAGAAAGAAAGAAAACCAAGAAAGGAGTTAGAACCTACATTAGTTTAGTTCTTACTACCTGCTGGAGATTGTGCCAAAAAAATTTACTGGCATCATCTTTTAGAAGCAAAAAAACTGAGGAAACATTCTACTACAAGTAGCAGTTGTCAGATTAGCCATTTCAATGAAGTTGATACCCCTGTCTGTCTTGTAGATGGAATGGCATTATTGAAATATGGAGGATCGCAGACTTAAAAAGGCTCCCAGTTCCACAGCCTACTTATGACCATAAAAGAGGCATAGAAAGGTGCTTCATGCTCTCTGGGTTTCAGTTTCCCTCATTATAAGCATGAAATTTAGAAGCAAACATTAAAATCTAGAGGGAGGGAGAGAGCAGTAAGTAAAGCATCTTCTGTCTGTCGATATTCTACACATAGTAGCTGTCTATTTGATTATAAAGATCATCACTGTCTACACTCCAGGATTTACAGTGAAAGAAGGCTGTCTCTTAGGTTCCTCTATATAATTAGGGGATGAAAGAATAAAACAAGAAAAAGAAGGGAAGGAAGAAAGGAAGGGAGGGAAAGAGGAAGGGAGGGAGAATATGGAGTTGGGCTGGGAGGACATTAGTCAATGAAAATTTTGCCTTCTCCACTCCATGGCTTACCTGGTTTCTCTTTCTTCCCTGCATCAGCAGTGTCCACAGCTGCCAAAATGAAAATCAATGCCAAGAAGGCAGCTGCAAATTTTCGACGTTGCTGCTGGTACTGTTGAGACTGCATTCTACGAATAAACAGAGAAAGAAAAGAAGGTGGCATTAACCTCGGTCGGGAGGAATATTCATTGAACTCCCGGATGAAGGGCTCCACTTTCCACTTCTGGAATGTTAGACTTCAGAAAGATGCCTATCAGTTATTCTATCTCGGGCAGAATTTTATCTTTTCTCACCAACAGCCCCTGAAATAAGTGCTCTTCTGCAATCAGTCACATATTCACTGAAAACACAACAGTTCTCCACACGAGATTTCATGACCAGTTGCCAAGTATGACTCAAGAATAATGGAAGAGAAAGAATTTTGAAGGCATATATTTGAGCATGCTCCTCCAGTAAGTCATGCTGACAGCATCTCTTTCTGACAACATCAGCAACTGTAGCCATCTTCGAAATTCCTGATGATTCCTAGAAGCATCCATGATATTGTAGACCACAGGACTAATTTGAATGGACGTAATGAAGAGAATATCCATACAAGTATATGCTTATTTTAAGATGCATTCATAATGATGGATATGTCTGAATTTTTTTAGTCATCTTCCATGATTATTACTATCATCTTATCATTATTCTATTATTTTATTGTATTTTGTTTTATTTTATTTTTTAGACAAGAGTCTCACTTCATCCTCTCACAGCATAGCTCACAGCAAATTCAGATCCTTGTGCCCAAGCGACTGTCTTGCTTCAGCCTCCCAAGTAGCTGGGACTACATCTTATCATTATTCTATGATCTATTGATCTACAACACAGTGAAGCCCAGAGCAAAGCTGACATGCTTATAACACACTTGAGACACACTTATAAACTCAGTTGTGCTACAGAGCCTCTGATTCTAGCATATGGTGAAGTCTTTATACTCACTCATAATTTGAAATTTTCAACAATTGATGTGATTCAAAAATCCCAAGGTAACATTAGAAAGACTCTCCTGGAACTGGAAGCCAACTATGACAGCTTAGGGTGAATTTGGTCAGCCTGGCCAAATCACTTTTTGACAAACCTCAGTCCAAGCCCCAGGACAACCTACTTCCCAGTGACTGCACCAAGTTGTTGGCCACAGCACCTTGCCTCCATCTGTTATGTTAATAGTGTTTTATAGTTAATACACAAATGACAGTAATGACCTGTGGTCATTGGCTTTGAGGATTTTTTTTTTCTGGAAGTGGTAATAGATTAGTTTACTTTAAAATTTTTTTTATTTCAAAATATAAAAGGGTTATAAATGTTTTTGTTACACAGAAAGACTGTATAACTTCTTTTTCATTTTAATCAATGTGCCTTTTTTATTTATTTCAGATTAATATGAGGGTACAAATGATTAGGTTACATTGATTGCCTTTCTTGGGTAAAGTTCAAGGTGCAGTTGCGCACTTCACCCAGGGGAGGTGCTCTTTACACTTACTTTGTGCACATTAGGTGAGAGCTTCCCAGGCCCCCTCCTTTCTTCCTTCTCCGTTTTCCCTGTCCCCCACCACTTGAATTTTATTGTTTTTCTCTCATGTGGGGGTATCGTTGTTTCTATTGGTTTCATATTACTATTGAATCCATTGGATACTTGCTTTTCCATTCTTACAATACTTAGAAGAATGTTCTTCAACACCATCCAAGTAAATACAAAAGTTGTAAAGTCTCCATCTTTTTTATTGCTGAATGGTGCTCCATGGTATACATATACTACTATAGTTTATTAATCCATTCATGAGTTGATGGGCACTTGGGTTGATGTGTAGTTTAGTTTAAATGTTTTTATATTTTCTTTCGTGTAAAGACAATAAAACCTTTCATATCTATAAGCCACTGAGACCATTTTTGTTCTGTAATTTATTTTTTCATTCAGAAATATCTATGAAATGTATCCTCACCATGAATTTGTCTCCTCTTCTGTGAGGTTGGACATATTTTCCCCTATTAGTGTTTTGTTTTTTTAACTTTAGATTTCTTTGTATGGATGAAGCATATTTCACTTATAAATTAAAATTAATATTTTGGTCATTTGGTTCTTTTCACGGAGTTGCAAGCCGTGCTTACCTACTGATCATCTCTAACACTTTCCAAAATCTAATATTGGATATTTTGCTCTTCTTCCTAATGCTTAAATTCTTACAATTATACTTTATGGATGGTCAGACAGAAAATTGCCTATCAATTATGAGGCTTTTCCTGTGTTTTCCATTAGCACAAATGCTGTGAGAAGCCTGTCAAGACTTACTGATTTGAGGGTTCCTCAGAGTTCTCAGAGTCAAGGATTCTGCTGCACCAACATGCCTACACACTTTCACAACATATTAAAATGTCATATAAAATTATTACGTGCAAGATTAACCAAAGTGGGAAGTCTTTCCCTCGTCCCTGAAGGCTCTCCTTCATTTCCTAGCCACTCTGGAGGAAGAAACTGTTCATTTGAATTTTCTTAAAAAGCAAATTAATTTCTCACTTCAGAACTTTTAAGTGGTAATGTAATTTTTGCCACGTTAGAATTTGTCTCTTGTTCAAAATTTTCCTAAAAATACCTTAAGTATTTAGACTGTTGTGAGTTATGTTACCATGAGAGTTTTGAAATTCCCATAGCTCTTGAGAGAACTTTCTGACCAAGCAATTGAATGGTTCTCAATGGTCTTGTAACAACAACATCTTCAGCAGGAATAGAAGCCAGACATGCTCAGAGCCCACTAAGGGGATGTGGTTACTTAGCAGAAATAGAATTGTTCTTTCCATAAATAACACAATTACACATACACACACCAGAATTATTAATAGACAGGGATTATCGCTGTGAGTTTCAACCTCAGCTTTACATCATCAAGCTCTTACTTTCAGCATTATTTTCAAAAATATTTCACTTAATCAAGTTACCTCCACATATTTCAAGGGAAAAAATACACATTCAAGTCAAAATTTCTAATCATCTGAAATTTTGAGTGTAGAGTTGTCTACGTAACAAGGTATTATAACTGAAATACAAACTGGGTGGAAAGAGGGAAGGTAAGAATTGGGCAGGAGTTTGAGAGAGAGTAGAATTCAAATGCACTCTCTCTGCTTCCAATATTTATTCATAACAATTCATGATCATGAGAATAGAAAAATGTGGATTTCAGCTCTTAAAAATTCTAAGAAAAAAATGCATAAGAGTCCATGTGTAGAATGAGGCTCCTGTGTAAACGTGATCAGCAGGAGCCTTGAGTGGGGGAATAGCTTCTCCATCCCTGCTTCCTTCCCTCCTATTTTGCCTGTCATTCTACTCAAGCCTTAGGTTTTCTGGGTAGAGAAAATAAATAAAGTTTATTTAAAAGAATAGAGTAAGGGGAGCTAGAAATGCAGCAATTAAAATTATCCAAAAACTTAAGCGCGCACACCCAGGACCCAGTTAGACTCCTGGCGCCTTTCTGCTGTACCAAATACTCGAGTAATTAGAGTATGTGCAGATTACAGTTCCCCCTGCTTGTGATATTTGCATTGCTGATTGGTTATTTGCAAAATGTCTCCACTAAGTAGGTGTCAGGTAAAGGATCTTAAGGAAGTGACCAGGATAGTGATGTATTTTACACACCAAGGAAGAAAGTAAAACAGTATAGGAGAATAAGGCTTACTAGATTAGCTCAGTTCTTTGGATCAGTTTACTTATTTCTTATACACTTTTTCTGTAGCCATCATTCTTCCACTTGCCCTTATAGATTTGATTTTTATAGGACTTAAGATATAAGTTGAAGACCCCCATAGATAGGTGTTGGAGTCTGGGTTTTGTTGAGTTATCTCAATGAGGTTTGAAGGTCAGTGATTAAAAGACATTAAAATGTAGAAAAACTTATCTACAATCTAATTTTCTTTTCCATATAAATATAGTATTGTTTTTGCTGAGACACCCAAAGATTTTTTTTTAAGGGCAATATTTCTCCTAACATGTTAATATGACTCACTGTTGTTCATTTTGGGTCAATATTCTCAGATAATTATGAGCTCCTTTCTTTGCCTATCTTAAATATTTATTATTTTCTCTCTATTGATTTCATATTAGTATTGAGCACACTGGATACTTCCTTTTCTATCCTGTGATACTTTACTAAGGAGAATGTTCTTCAACTCCATCCAGTTTAATACAAAAAATGTAAAGTCTATTTTTTATGGCTAAAAAGCATTCCCTGTCATACATATACCACAGTTTATTAATCCATTCATGGGTTGATTCCACATCTGTTGATTGTGAACTGAGCTGCACTGAAGATTTTAGTAGAAATGTCCTTACAGTATTTTTTTTTTTTATTCTGAATAGATACCTGGTAATGGAATTGTGAGAGCAAATAGAAGGTTCACTTTTAGCTCTTTGAGCATTCTCCATACTTCTTCCCAAAGAGGCCGCAGTAGTTTGCATCTATATTTTTTAAAGAAATTGCTTTTCTTATCTTTTCTTTATTTAAGGTGTTATGTGTATTTATTTGATCTTGTGTTCTTTCTAGTTTAGTCTTCATTTCTAAATATTTTTTCTTCTATTTCTAATTCTTACCAAAGTTGTATGTATCCCTTCATTCTTGAGTTTTTATAATTATAGTTTATGAGGTTCTTCTACTTTTTGTACCATTTTCCAATTTTTTTATCTCATTTTGAAACAATATGTTCTGAGAAATTTTGATTTGTTGTTTCTTATGCTGGGTAATTCTTTCATGCCTATAGACATACTAATCTATTTTTTATCTCTTTACTCTCTTCCTTTAATAGTTACCTTGCATGGGATTTGACCTTAATACATTGCTCTGGCTCATATTCATGTTCACAAAGCTTTTCTAATTTCACAAAGTTTGTTCTTCTGTTCTTTCCGTATGATGGGTAAACTATAGCAGCTACACTATTTCTGAGATTTCCAGGTTCTGTTTTCCTTTCCTTGCTTTTATTTGGACTTTTGTTTCTATCATTGATCACCAGATTTTAAGCAATGATAGATTGATATTTTATAAAATCAAAATCAGTTTGATTTTATTCCCAGCAAATTATCCTCACTGTGGGTTCCTGTCCT